GGGTGAGGTGTGGGGGGGTGTGGGGGGGTGAGGTGTTGGGGGCGCCTTCGAACCCCCACCAACTTGGTAGTTCTCCGGTGGGTTTTCTTGCGGTTTTTTTCCTCTCCTCCTCCCCCCACCGCCCCACCCCCGCTCCCCCCCACCGCCCCCTTCCCGCCCCACCCTCCCCCCCGCTCCCCTCCCCCCCCCCACCGCCACCGCCCCGCAAAATAAAAATGAAAACCGTTTCGAAAAAGAAATAAAGCGGCGAGAACGGGAAAAAAAATCGATTAAAAAAGAATATATTTTTTTAAAAAAAAACAAACCCACACGCGCCGCAGAGCGTCTCCGCGGTTTAACGGTCATTTGCGTGTGTCTGAGAGAGAGAGAGAGAGAGAGGGAGAGAACGAGTCGGGCCTTGTGTCTGGTTTTGAAGCCTCGGCCCTCACCTGCACCCGCTCCCGGATCGCGCTGCCGCTCTCCGCCGCCTTCATCCTTAGGGGGTGGGGAGGGGGGGGGGGAGGGACTCCGCCCTGTCATGGCGGCCGTCCCGCCTCTCCCTCCGTCTGTAGATAGAGCGCTTTCACCTCGCGCGAGGGCCGCCGGGAGAGATTGGCCGCCATTGCCTCCCCCACTCCCCCAAATGGCTGCTGGGAGAAAAAGGATACAGGTACCGACCTGGTCCAAAGCTCTCTCTCTCACACACCCACACACACAGGGGCACAGAGTACAACAGTCACTACACTGGCATAATCCTTGCATTTCATTCGAGCGAAGCGAATTATTCTGATGATAATAATAATATAATAATAATCCTTGCATTTCATTAGAGCGAAGCGAGATATTATGATAATAATATAATAATAATCCTTGCATTTCATTAGAGCGAAGCGAATTATGATGATAATAATATAATAATAATCCTTGCATTTGATGCAGCGCCTTTTCACGTCTCAAAGCGCAGAATAGACTGTAAAGTGAATTGACCGTATATTTGTGGGCGAAACGTGGCGCGGTTGAACATTAATAGGGAATAATAATCCTCGCATTTGACTCAGTGCTTTGTCACATCTTCAAGACGTCTCAAAGCGCTGTGCGGGATATACTGTAAAGGGAATATTGAATATTAATAATAATAATCCTCGCATTTGACACAGTGCCTTATCAGGTCTTTGAGACGTCTCAAAGTGCTTTGTGGGATATATTGTAAATTGAATTTTGAATATTAATAATAATAATCCTTGCATTTGACACAGCGCCTTATCACATCGTCGAGACGTCTCAAAGCCCTTCACAGGATATACTGTAAAGTGGGACTGATTGCGTATTTTGTTGGCGAAACGCGGCAGCCAATTGCGCGCAGCAGCGTCCCACAAACAGCCGTAGATTGAGTGGCCAAGTTATTATCTTACAACAAGCGGGTCCGTACTTACTGCTAGGTAAAAAGAGGCGTGTGGAGGAAGGAAACTCGCCCAAGATTCCTCCCTGCCCTGGAAGGAAAAAGAAAAGGGATAGACTCTGCCTCTGCCAGGCTCCACACCGCAGGCCGCCAAAACCCTCATACATGCATTCATAACATCCAGGCTCGACTACGCAAACTCCTTACTCCCCAACTCCTCCCTCCATAGGCTGCAGATCATCCAGAACTCTGCAGCCTGTGTCCTCTCCGGCACTAGGCTCTGCGACCCTATCTCCTCCATGGCCTCGCTCCCCCCTACCTCTGTGACCTCCTAACCCCCTACCAACCTGCCTTCTCCCTCCGCTCAGCGGGCTCCTGCTGCTTTACTTCCCCCGCCTCGCCTGCCTCACCATTGGTGGGCGGACTTTCTGCCAATCTTCCCCCACCCTCTGGAAATCCATCCCGCAGTATCTCCGCCTCGCCCCCTCGTTCGCCTCCTTCAAGACCTATCTCAAGACTCTCCTCTTCGACCATGCCTTTGATCACCCTGCTTCCCCCCCCTGCCCTTCATCCTCCCCAATCCCGACCCCCAGCTTGGGTCGGAAACACTGACTGTCCAGCACCTTGGGACGTCCTCCTGACGTGAAAGGCGCTATACAAATATAATTTTTGTGGTTGTTGTAGACATGGGGAAGGGGATATAAAGAAGAGAATAATAATCAATACCACTTTTAGTGCCACTGTGTGTGTGTGTGTGTGATACAAGGCTCAGCAGGTTGGGGATAGGCATGTGGAAAGGGAATATGAAGAAAAGAATAATATTAATATTACTTTTAGTGCCACTGTTTATGTGTGTGTGTGTGTGCGTGTGATGGAGGGAGTCAGCTTGGCTCAACTCAGTAGGTCTCAGTGTCAGCCTGGCTCAGTCGTTTGGATTTCTCTCTCCCGGTGTCCTGGCCAACAAGCCCCAAATAAAAATTCTCTTTGTGTGTGTGTGTGCGTGTGTGCTCTCCGCAAATTAGCTGCCGTGATTCACTCACAAAATACACAGTTAATCCACTTGGCAATATAACCTGTGGGCGCTTTGAGGCATCTCAACGACGTGATAAGGCGCTAGATCAAATGCAAGTGATTATTATTGTTATTATAACTCTTGGTTCCGGGTTAGAAGGTTGTGTGCTAAAGTCCAACTTCCTAGGATTATAGCTCACAATATTTTCTTGATGCACCTGGAAATATGTTTTTACCCAGAGGATCACTCACCTGATGCACCATTACAAAAAAAATCTTGTGCTGCAACTTTATGTACATTTTAACCTGTTTAGCCTTTTCAGGTGGATGTTAAAGATCATGGCTCTTTTCGAAAAGAAAAGAAAGTTTCTGACCAACAATCCCTCAGATAAAATTGGTCACTCACTCCACGACTGTTTGGGACATCGCCATGCGCAACTGGCTGCCACATTTCACCCACAAAATACACAGTCAATCCACTTTACAACATATTCTGTGAAGTGTGATAAGGCTCTATATCAAATGCAAGGATGATAGTTGTTATTATTACCTGAGAGCCATCTGCTTTGAGACAATTTGCTCTTTAGAGGAGTTGCATCAAGCACAACAACAACTTGCATTTAGTTGATGAGGAAGGTCTTCAGGCGCGATCTGAAGATGGGGAAGGAAGGGGCAGGTTTGAGGGAGAGTGTTTCAGAGTTTTGGGGCATAGCGGCTGAAAGAGCAGCCACCAATGGTGAAACAGAGGGCACGAGGGTCTTGCAGAAGGCTAGAGCCGGTCGAGCGGAGCCAGCGGGTTGTGGGTTGGGGGGAGTAAGCAGGTTGGAGAAGTCAGGATTATTACTATATTTTTTGCATGAGAACTGCTGATGAAATATGCCCCTGCAAATCAATAGACTGTAACTCTGGTAGGGGGGGGAGTGGGAATTGTTGGTTTAGATACCAGGAAAAACTCTTCTCTCTTCCAACAGCCATTGGTATGTTACGGAAGCCTGTATTGGTTAGAGCACTCGCCTCGCAAGCAAGAGGACCTGGGTTCGATTCCCAGGCAGGGCGAAATGTTAGGCAAGTTTCCTTACTCCACATATACGCCTCTGTTTACCTCGCAGCAACTAGAAACCTGGTTGTTAGTCGATTGACGCTTTTTCTAGAGTAATAATCCCTTCAAAAACAATTAAAAAACAATAATAATTTGGTCACTCAATCCACAACTGTTTGTGGGACACTGCTGTGTGCAATTGGCTGCTGCGTTTTTCCCACAAAATACAGTCAATGCACTTTACACTATAGCCTGAGACGTATCATGTCTTGATATAAGGGGCTATATCAAATGGAGCAATATTATTATTATTATTATTATTATTGTTCAACGTCCACCTGAATAGGCAGATGGGACCTGAATAGGCAGATGAGTTCGAATGGCACCTCCTGACAAGGCAGCGTTCTGCAAATAGAGTGTCAATCTGGAATGGGTGAGCTCAAGTCTTTAGGTGCATCTTGAACCCACAACCTTCTGACCCAGAAACAGAAGAGGGAGCCATTGCGCTTTCTCTAGTGTAACCAGTCCGCATAGCTCCTTGCAGCTCGCTCCACAATGGCAGGGCTTAGGAAGAAGATCTTACTATTAAAAGCTGAGCCACTTACAGATGGTACTCTTTAATCCATCCGACGTAAGGATTTGCCTGACTAGTCGGTGTTTACTGCAGGGAGAATTAGCGTTCATAAATAAATGTCAATCTCTCTGTGTCTGTGTTACAGCATCAAAAGGTTACCCTTTTGTAGCATCTTTCATATAGCAATAATAATCCTTGTATTCAATACAGCACTTTGTAGTGTTGAGACATCTGAAAGCACATCACAGGACGTTACTGTGAAGTGTAGTGACTGTATATTTGTAGGTAAACATGGCAGCCAATTTTGAATATAGTTGGACCCTCACCTCCGTAACATCGCCTGACTCTGCCACTACCTCACCCCTCAGGCCACTGAAACTCTAGTTCATGCCTTCATCACCTCCAGGCTCGACTATGCGAACGTCCTGCTTGTCGGCCTTCCCAACTCCTCCCTCCACAGGCTGCAGATAATCCAGAACTCTGCAGCCCGTGTCCTCTCCCGCACCAAACTCCGTGATCCCATCTCCCCCATTCTCGCCCAACTCCATTGGCTCCCTATCCTTCAGAGGATCCAGTTCAAGATCCTGGTCTTCATCTACAAAGCCCTCCATGGCCTCGCCCCACCCTACCTCAGTGACCTCCTAACCTCCTACCAACCCGCCCGCTCCCTCCGCTCAGCCGGCTCTGGCCTGCTCCACATCTCTCGACTCACCTGCCCCACCATTGGCGGAAGAGCCTTCAGCCACCCTGCCCCCAACCTCTGGAATTCCACCTCCCAATCCTCCGCCTCGCCCTCTTCTTAGTCTCCTTCAAGTACCACTTCAAATCCCTCCTCTTCAACCATGCCATCGGTCACCCCACTTCCCCTCCCCTTATTCCCCCCTGACTCCAGCTCGGGTCTGAAATGCTGTACACTGTCCAGCGCCTTGGGACATCCTCCCAACGTGAAAGGCGCTATACAAATGTAACCTTCTTGTTCTTGTTGGACTCACGGTTGGAGTCCTGTAGCTTAGTGATAAGAGCACTCATCTTGCAAGCGAGAGGACACGGGTGCGATTCCCAGGCAGGGTGAATTCTTAGGCAAGTTTCCTTACTCTACAAGCCTCTGTAGGAACTCAGTTGTTAGTGGATTGGCAGATCTTTTTTTCCAGGGGTAATAATCCCTTCAAAACATTTTTAAAAAATTAAAAATAACTGAGTCACTCATTCCACAATTGTTTGTGACACACTGCTGTGCCACATTTCGCCCACAAAGTATACAGTCACTACACTTTTACAGTATATTCTGTGAAGCGCTTTGTGACGTCTCGAAGATGTGATAAGACGCTACATCAAATGCAGGGATTATTATTATTAGAGCATTTTCCCACAAACAGCCATGAAGGGAGTGACCTATTATATTTGGTGGGATTTTTAGCCAGTACAGAGGGAGACACTCCCTTCTCTTTTTGCATAGTGGCAATGGGATCTTTAACATCCACCAAACAGGCCGACGGGACCGAGGATTAACTTGTCATCTGAAAGGCGGCATCTCCAACAATGCATC